AAAAATTAGCAATGCCTTCGCTGGGAATCGAACCACGGAGCTCTGGAATACGTGCCCAGCGTGCAGACCACCACACCAGAAAGGCACGTCAAGAAGGCGGGAGAACTACCTTATAGTATCTACCTGATAGTATTATTTTCTTTCTGCATGGTTCTGAAAATTTACGGTACACTGCGTTCCTAGTACACACAAGTCAAAAGAAACTTCTGCTAACAACGAATTCTCAATTCTAAATAAAGAACCGAATCGAATTGATGATGTTAAAGCCATGAATATAACGCAGAACACGACGTGTGCGGCTCAATCACTTTGCAAAACCTCAACCTCGCATGAAGGAGACGTTTGCAGTTTCTAACACGGACAAAGGAAGAAGGAAGTAGAATGTGGGCGGACAAAAGACGTGGATTTCTAAAGATCGAACACATCAGCAGCAGATGAAGGGTTACAGCCGAAAACATCGCGGACGAAAACGTCGCGGAGAAAACAATGCAATGAGAAAACGTCGTAATACAAAACATCGTGGGAAAAAATAAAGCAAAGAGAGAAATCGCTGTTCTAAAACATCGTGGTACAAAATATCGTCGTCTAAAAAATAAAGCGGTTCAAAACTTCGCAGTTTAAAAACATCGTAGTCGAAAATATCGTGGTAAAAAGTAAGATACTTACAAATTATCGCATGACGATAACATCGCAGACATGCGCTTTTAAGACTTTAATGTAAAAAATGTAATGTTTTGAGGTTTAATGTAAATGTACACTCGCATAATGATTTGTTAGCGCAAGATGGAAAGAAGGATAATTTTTACTTTCATATTTTTCATTTTTTTTCATATTTTTTTCATATTTTTTCATATTAACTAATAAATTGAAAAAAAGAACAAGAAATTTAAACAAAAAACAGAAAGAATTTTCACTATAAAACTATCAGATTAATGAAAGTGAAGAAAATAATCTCATAATTAGCAATTTTTTATAGATAAGGTCATGCAGTTACTCATCTTTCTTTTTTCTATTCTTTTTTTTTTATTATACTTTTCATGAAAAATTACCAGTAAAACTTTATAAAAAAATTCTATTCTATAAATTCTATTAAGTGCTTTTAGTTGCATTAATTTTTTATTCTTTAGTTTTCATATTACATTTTGAGCAAATATTTATTGGTTAATAAAAAATATGAAAGTAAAAATTATCCTTTTTTCCCATCTTGAGCTAACAAATCAATATGCGAGTATACTTTTACATTAAACCATGTCTTAAAAACGCATGTCTGCGGTGTTATTGTCATGCGATGATTTGTAGATACTTTTTTTTTACCACGATATTTTTGACAACGATGTTTTTAAACTGCGAAGTTTTTGAACCGCTTTATTTTCGATGACGATATTTTGTACCATCATGTTTTAGAACTGCGATGTTTTCTCTTTGCCTTATTTTCTCCCAAGATGTTTTGCACCACGACGTTTTCGCCTTGCGTTGATTTCTCCGCGACGTTTTCGTCCGCGATGTTTTTGCCACGATGTTTTCGGCGGACACCAGATGAAGCTACAATGAGCTCATTGCAAATAAAAGAAATAAGGTGAATTCATACGTTTCGAAAATTTCTTGAGTGCGAGAACACCTACCACATCCGGGTATCTTAACAAAAAATGTGCACAAAATATTTTTCAAATAATAAATGCTAGGAACAGTAAAATGGATAAAATGCTAATACAAAAATGCAAATGCAAATTGAATACATTGAATATAAATAATATTAATCAACGGGATACAGTTTACCAATAAACTATGTGCAGAAGAAAAACTATGAAAATGAACAGAAGAAAAACTTTGTGCAATAAGGGAAGAGCAAAATTATGCGAATATTTTAAAATTTTCTGAACCTAGCACAAAAAACTAGAGAACTTTTTAAGTGGGAAAGTATTTCAAAACAAAATGTATTATGCAAGGAAATTTAATTTGATTAAAATAGGCAAAAGAAATGGGATTTAGTGAAACAAACTTTAGAAAAGCACATATGCTTTTTAAACGGACTTTAACCATCTATAATTGCATTCTCATCTTTTAATAAACTTACTAAATTATACTACTTAAAATGACTAAAAACTGCACGAAACACGAGCTCCAGTACATTCTTGCAGTATGAAATCTTTTGGCACTTATGCAGTTAGACAACAATAAATCAACCAAAGCAACAATGATCCTCTTTGAAAATTTATAGTGCAAGATTTTATCCCTTGTCTGGAAACAAGATATAATGTATTCGATTCTAGGCGAAAGGGCTGGCTGGCATGGGCGTTTCGTGATTTTCTCCATGTGTAACGTGAATCAAACCCGATTTCCCTTTACAAGTTCTCAAAAAAAAAAAAACACCTCTTTCCTTAGACAGATAGTTTTCGCTTGCTTTGCTACATTCAAACCAAGTTGTTCCATTTTCAGAAAACCACTAATTATTTCATATTTCACACCTTAAAAAATCTTCATTTATTAATGCGTCAGAAACTGAATTAGTATTTCTAAAACTTCCTCATTTAAACTGTAGCTGATGAATTTGTAAGTAAAAGTTAAATCTCGTTTTGGTGGAGTAGGAACTCAACTTAAGTTTTAATATGAAAACACATCTTAAAAAGAAAACCAATGTTTTGAATATCTGGTTTCAAAGAGAAAGCACTGCATCAACACAACTTTTCGTTTGGGATAATAAATGTTTGCTCACCCAGAGGAAAGGAAACTATATTCTCTAAAAACAAAGTGGTTTCTGTATATTTTCTGAATTGAAAGGTGATTATTACGACACAAATTCATTCATGCTTTGCTGAAATCGCGAATGGATTAACATCTGGCAAGCGGTACTGTGATTAAAAGAGTGCGAAACATTATCGATTGTTATCTCTTTCAACAGCATATTAATAAAAAGATGACAAATATCATTTACAAACCAACTAGCACTCATGGATAGTAATTATTTCCGATTTATTATTTATTTGATGCGGATATCTACTGAATGATGAAACAAACTGGTTTCTCGCACTTTTAATAATTTATTCCCATGTAACGCGAATAAGACACCTGTTAGATAACTCTTTATGGGAACAATTTTCCAAAAACAAATGATATCAAGTACAATGTGTTTACAAGAGTACTTATGTGACCATTATTTCTGCAATCGTTGATTGAGAGATTGTTTCAAGAAATAACAATGCTTTAAATAATAAAAGGACTCATGTTATAGCTTAAAAAATCAGTTAAGTAAAAATTACGAAGTCTAACAATTTATACAATCCCTCGGTCCATTTAACTCTATTTAGTAAACGCATATCATATTGTTTAACTTAAATGCGATTAAAAGCCGTAAATACGGTCTCCATGCATTAAATAATTTCCATTTTAATACTCTCCGTGATTTAAGTATTTACAAATCCTTATCGTCAGAGACGATAAAAGACGAGAAAAAGAGATAGAATACTTCCTTTTTGATTTTTCCGTACTTACCTTACTCTATGCTTCTTGAATTAAATTATATCAATAAACACACTATATTACTTTTAAATTTAGTTAAATTTAGTGGAATGAAGCCATTATAATGAACAGTTGAATTAAATAATTTCATAGAATAAAAGGTTATTAATTAGAGGAATTACTTTGATCGATTAGTTAAAATATTCAGTCATTCCTCTTTCTTTGAGTATAACGTACGAAAAAAATGCACCTTTGAAACCTATTTCCGAGCATAAGTGTAAAAGCAGAATTTGACTCCCCATTACGAAAGTCTTTAAATAAACAAATTGTATGTTGCAATGGGGGACAGCACTTTGAAATCATCATGCAGTAGTGTATTCCTTCCTTCTATTATCAACATAGTGGAAATGATATGCTAATAGTAATATTGGTATATGGAAAAAATTGAATATGGAATAATTGATATATCTAATGGAATAATGGAAAATATAATATATTTTTGGAAATATAATATAATTGAAATTATATACTAATAATTTGTTGTTGCAGTGAATCTTTGCAGAACGCGATTTCGTATATAAGAATTATCTTGAGGTTTTTCCATCGAATTTGCCTCTAATGAAACTGTAGAGTTTCATTAATACGTGGTTCAAGGTTCAGTCATCAACTCTGAGTGTGTGCTCGATTCCGCTTTGCTAAGAAGTTATCAACAATTTTAAAGGATTCCATTGGGTAAAAACGACACCAAAGAAATGGTGCAAGTTGCAAAAGCAACTGTCTGTGAAGAACTTTTAGGTGTAGGAGCAGAAGCTATCAAAGAATTAATGGAGAAATGGGCAAATGAAGAACTTATAACACTAGCCGACAGTGAAAGCAATGATAATGAAGAAGAAGATAAAGCACCTTTAATTTACAAGAGAAAACGACACAGGAGCTTGCAACTTATTTTGAAATGGACATTGACTCAAGAAAGCAGACACAGTATGACATACATTAAAAAGCTTCGCTCTACTTACTACGAAGTGACTGCTACTAAGTGTGAATTTACACAGACACGTAAGAAGGGTTTAAAGCCCTTTTTATTCAATTATTAAAATAACAGCTGCGTCCACTTGGCGCTCACAAACTATGCCAACCCGGCGGTTTAACTGAAACAGAATGTAGAAATGAAGAATAATGACTGGATGAATAAATAGCGAGATCACTATCCACGAGGCTCTGAGATTTTAACCCTTTCACAACCAGTTTTTTCTTTAAAAAAAAAAAAAAAAAGATAAATTAGGGGTTTATTAGGTAAAATAAAGTAGAAATAGCAATATTCTGCCCAATTATAAGCAAAAATTTACTGTAAGGGCCATTTTGGAGGTGGAACATATGTGTCCCACTGGTCTTTTTAGTTGGGACACATGTGTCCCATTGGGGTTGAAGTGACAATATAAAACATAGTGAAAAGTTCAGTTTTCTAGTTCTAAATGAATTTCACAATACTTTTGAAACAGTTTTATCAGAAAACACCTACCTACACAACATTATTTATGAAATTTCTATGTATGGTACATTGCAAAACAGTTTTTACATAGTGCAATTTTACACATGGCGCAAACAGTTTTTGTTCGGGTTTCTTTATTTTGTTTGGCACAGCGGGCACATCTTCTTCTTGTTGGCCCTTCTAATGACAAATGATCTCCAACATTCAACATCAGTTTTGTTGCATTTGACGGTCGACCTGATTTCTTCCTCTTGACAATTGCATTTTCTTTGCCATGAGCAATCATTAATTCGGCTAGGGGGACAATGTATTGCAAAAGAGGTATTTTCCTATGTTTGGTTTCTTGAAACAATATGTGTGCATTCACAACAGCTGTCATCAAAAGTTTATAAAATACTTTTTTCCACCATTTTGTAGATCTTCTGTCAAAATCATATAGGCATATCTTTTGATCAGACAAATCTACTCCTCCCATAAATCTGTTATAGTCGGCAATAGCGGTAGGACAATTTGTCATTACTTTTTCTCCATCTTTCTGCTTGCGTTTTACTTGTATGACATCAGGTCCGTGGCAATTACTCAGAATCAGAACTTCCTTTGAATCTTGCCATCTTGCTGCAAGAGTTCCTCTTCTATTCTGGAGAAATTCTAAATCACCTTTTTGAAGTTTTTCGTCAGAGAATTTTGGCATGTCTTTTCTACGAGAAATACAAGTACCAACAGAAGGAAAGGATATGTTATCCAATAAGTTTACACTTGTAAAAAATCTATCAAATGTAAGTGTAACACATCTGGGTTACGTATTGTTGAGGAAAGTTTTAGAACAACTCTTTCTCCAAGTATTGTACCCTCATGATCTGTATTATCCATGTCTTTGCCAGAATATATATTGAAGTCATAGGTGTAGCCCGTAGCAGCATCACATCTCTCCCACACTTTGATTCCCCGTTTTATTGGCTTTAGGGGTAAATACTGCTTTAGGCTAGAACGACCTTTGAATTTAGCCATGGATTCATCGATGCTTTGAAAGGGACTATCTTCGCGAGCTTGCATAAATGTCCTTTTGAAACATGCCACCACTTCATCCATATAATATGTCTTTGGAGCATTCGCATCTTTTTCTGGATCATTGAAGTACATTTTTGCAAAGAGCAATAGGCATCTGTTACGGGAAATCGCATTTTGATAGCTTCGTTTCCCAATGAAGAATTGCTGGACCAATAATCTGAAAAGTTCGGTACTTGATTATACGACATGACAAGCATAACTCCCAACACAAGCATAATTTCTGAAGGGTCTGTGTCAGGAATATCTACTTTTTTTTCATGTCTCAGCATTTCAAGGCGCTGGTTGGTACATTGAGAAATAAAAATAAGAAGACTTCGTGGAAATACACATGAGAAACATTCTAATTCATTAGAGGATCTGTTGATTTTGGTCAGTATTGCAGTTGGACGGTCTTTAGATACATGGAGCCGTGGCTCAAAATTTGGACCAACATTTGACCAAATGACAGGATCAGTAGGTTTTGAAATAGTTTTTTTTTATGTTTATTTTTTGCCTTGCACTTATATTTTGATACCTGCTCCGCTTCATCGGGTGAGAAATCATCAGAGTCCGAATCAACGGAGGGTTCTGATGAATGCTCAAGACATGACAGCTTTCGTTTCGGTGCCCTTGATGTTCCTGAATTTTCTCTCAATTCTTCACAGCTATCACTGTCTGAGGAACTAGGGACATATTCCTTGTCTATATCTGAATCGTCCAATTCATCACTTGAATCCGGTTCATTCAATAATTTTAATTATTTCTCTTCCTTTGTCAATCCCTTCCTGCGATTCATGATATTGCTATGCCTAAAAATACAGAAATGACCACTTTGAGAATGAGGCATAGATATATTTCAATAACCACTGGGACAATAATGTCCCAATAAAACAGACCATTGGGACATATATGTCCCATAATATTATTTTTTTTTTCAAAATCTACAATGAAAATTCACTTACTTCAAATAAACTGCTTGATATGGCAAAAATAGACGAAAATCACATAAAACGAAAACAGCACGTGTGTCCACTCATGTATCTTCGCCTAAAATGGCTGCCAGAATGTCCAAACTTTCTCGTTTGTCAAAACTGTTACGATAAAACAAAGAGCTCACAGGGCACTAGTGTCATCTATCGAGAAAAAATTACACTAAAAGGTAGATGTAATCACAGGAAACCAGTGGGACACTCGCTGCAATAAATTTTACGCTTGTTTTTCCCATTGGGTGATTTGGAAACATTTGCGGGACATATATGTCCCGGTGGGGCCGAAAGGGTTAAAGTAACCTAACCGCGTTCTAACATTACCGCTGAGATTCAGCGAGCTTACTGATTAAGCAGTTGAAAGATCCAGCAAAACTGCCGAGATAGGCACACAGGCCGAAACGTGCGGTTCTTAAATTCTACCGAGCGACGTTCACGTTCGCGATTCAAGAAGCACACCTACAATCTCGTTTCCTTCCAATTTAAACTCAACTTACTTCTGCTAAAATTTGAATATACTGCGCGCTCTGCTACAATTTACATACTCTAGCATTGGCAACTCTAGGGCAAAGTAAAGGCTAGACAGGAAAGATAACTTAAAATAAATATAAACCCTACAAGGTACAGTATTTTCTGCTTATATAAGGTATTTTATGCTGAACTACACACAGTATTTGTTATTGAAATTGTTTTATTTGAATATATTTTTCTTTGTTCACTTTATCCAGCTATTTTAAGTAGCGTGTATATTCGGCAAGAAATATCTAACGGAGACCGGACCGAAGTAGGAATTTTACTTTATGGAAATAAATTAGGTTATTTTGTGGCTCAGTACACTCAAAAATACCATGAATTTAGAATTAAAGCCTTTTTCAGAAACTCGAATTTTTCCATGCTGTGTCAAAAATTTTGAAATGATTAAAAACTAAAATAAAACTTCGAAATCAAATTGCATGCGAAAACGCAGCATAAAACTAACCATTACTTGAACATTACAAAATAATATATTAGTTGCCTTTTGTTACGCAAATAGAAACTCCGAGAAAAATCTGCACTTAGAAGAATATCTCTCATTCTTAGATAAGCCTGCTTTATTAGAACTGCTGCGTTCTTAAACTGAATTTTAACTACAGAAGCATTAAGAAAATTTGCATTATTATCTACTCATATTGTTCAAGAAGGAAACGGAATAATATAAAAATTTTGCCGTCAGTGCCACCTTTCATTTATCAATCCTTGAAAGCTGTGTTTGCTGGCCTTGACTTCATTGCGTCCAATAACTAAATGTCAAACGCTGTGCGATGATCGCTCAGAATTTTTTTTTTAGACGTTTCTGTTGGTGAGACCATTGTGAATTTATTCATTACCCCCTTCATTTCATTGGCATCCAACTCATGTCTGAACGTGCGTAAGCTGAGAGCTATATAATATGAAGTGTGTTCTAGGCGTAGCGTGAGCTTTAAATCTCAAGGGACATCTTGCCGTCTGCATGCGAGGCACACAATTCCTAATTGTGACACGCTGTGAAAAAATAAGTAAATAAATACTGAACGGTTCAGAAAAATAATGGAAAGAGTCAAACTGAGCTCTTGTTTTCTGGTTGCTAATCGGCTTAGCTTATCTGTTTTAATTTGGTTTTTAAATGGCCGCGGCAATGCCTTTGAAAACCTGGCGTGTAAAGTTACAAGTATGGTTATCGTTGTCACACAACTAAATGCATATTATTAAAGGCTTATTAAAACATCAAATAAAATAAGATTTTAAATTAATTAAAAATGCCGAATAAAAACATTTTTATATCTTTATTTAAATTAAAACTAAGGCTACGTAATTTTTAAGGGTAATAAATGTGAAATAGTAGATGTCAATATAAAACATTAGTTGCAATCTATACTTTACAAAACAAATTTTTAGGAAACTAAAATACCCCTTTACAGATTGCGCATTGGTATAACAGTGCACTTTTATGAAAATGCTTTTTGCAAGTTAGAGACTGACTTTCATAGCGGTTCATTCACCTTTACGAAAGAGCGTCTTTTTGAAGTAGTCTCATGTCAATGAAACTGAATGGTCAACCGCGTACCCGTCGAAAAGATATTTCCTGTGGTGTCCACCACTCGTCAAGCGTTGGTGTAAGTGTATTGAATTTTAGCGGAACCAGGCTGGACAACGATAGTATAATCATTTTGGTATTCACAGAAAATCTCTGATGAATAACAAATTCCGAGTTTCTGTTGAACGCCAGTGATTTGAACTCTGAAACAATATTACTTTAACTGCGTTTTATTAACTACTAACTATATATATAACTGCTAATTATTTGAACTATATTACTTTAAAGCTAATTATATATGATTAGTAGGACGTAGCATAAGAAAATGATTAGCAGCAAACAATTATGATGAAAGCATCGAAACAGAAAATTATACTTCTTATTCCCTTTTTCCTTAAACCATTAAATTTTTAATAAGATACATTTTTAAAGTTGCAGATTTTGTTTCGAAACAGCTATCTATTATTAATTTGGTAAAGGTATTTGAGAGCCATCTGTGTAAAATAAAGGATGTCCTTGTAAAATACTAAAAGAAAATGGCCTTTATTTACATTACAGCAAAGCACTCGAAGGCTGTTTGCCTAAAATGATATAGAGTTCTTTCTAATTTGTAGAGTACCCCTTTCTAATGCAAACTTACTTGTATCCAAGTTACTCATGTGAGCAATTACAAAACTCCCAACCGATCCCGTTCACCAAGCTGGTCATACTTCTATGAACCTGGGTTGAGTTACTTCAAATTCAGTGATTTTATATCTCGGACGCATGTAGGCACATGAAGCACAAAATCCCACAGAATCAGCCCATTGTACAGTAAAAAAGAATAAAGCCCTCTTCTAACTTTTGTGTTTCACCGCCTTACCCGCTCATTAGTAGCGGCTGAATTAAAAGCGGTAGTTAAAACAAAATCTAGTAAATGCTTTATTAATGAAAGAAATTTTAAAGTACGTTTATTTTACAAGAATTAAGCCAGTTGTGTCAAAAAAAATGAAGAACAAAATTTACTCAACGAATGCATAAAAGAAATTCAATTTTCATGTGAAGAAGTTTGCGTACGTAGAGATGAGAAATATACATAAGAAATATTTTTCGAATGGAAATTTCTGAATGTCTTGCAGCACTGAAAATAAACTTGATACACGTATTCTGCAATATAAAACTGGATCACTGATACATTTTGCCTTGCACCACTTTAGCCCGCGTTCACATTAATCTAAACCGAAGCTAAAACTGTGACAGAAAAAGTTCTCTTGAGTTAATTAGAAACAGATTGGATGCAGAACTGTCCAGCCAACCATTCTGGTATTCCGTGCCTTGCTTTTTATGTCGTTTCGTTTTAAATGCGTGTTGGATGGACATATGACACGTGATGTAATAATAAAGTTTTTATTACAGGATGAGGGTAATTCTGCTGATCGGGGACTGAATACAAATTGCTGTAAATACATGGAAATAATGAATTATTATTTAATGAGCTGAAGTAAATATCATCTACAATGAGACAGTTTCTCATTCATCATAAAAAGGGGAGGATGTGATGGTTGGTTAATAAGACGATGCATTCAACAACTATCTGCCAGCAGAGGGATGCCTCATCCATGCCGT